GGTGCCAGCAGCAGGAAAGAAGAGATTTTCAGGTCAGTGTGAAGCAATACACTGGGCATAATAGTATAAGGCTGCTTTCACACTGATGCTCTGCGGTTTACCCACACTGTGGGTGCAGTGCACCTTTCCTGCACTTAGCCATAGACATCTACTATATCCTGTGGGTTTGGTACACATTCTGAAAGTGCACCATCTGCGGGATATAATAGAAGTCTATGGCAAAGCACAGGTAATCCAAGGTGCAAGTAAACCACAGCACATGTGAAAGCCGCCTTATAGAGGGCTGAGAACAGTAAGGGTTAATTTACATTTTCAGTTTGGAGGGTGGTAAAACAGCATAGTTAAGGCATGTTTTTACCCCCCCCCCCCCCCCCCCCCCCCCCCCCCCGTTGCACTTCCTTTAGCTGCTGTGGCCAGGGGTTTACACATGACACAGCAGGAATTGTATGCCCTGTCAAGCATGACCCATTCAAGTGAATGAGGCCTCCCTGCAAGTGCCCTGCAACCTTGTACAGTACAGCAAACAAGGGGTTAAAGCAGGCAGCATTGTGTTGCTTTTTCAACACTTGCTTTAACCCCTGGGACCCTGCAGAAACATACAGTTTTGGGGCACTTGCAGAGTGGCCCCATTTACTTGAATGAGTTGCGATTGGCAGACGGTAGCACCCACCAAAAACTACAGGCGGTTTAATTCCTCCTGCATCATGTGTACACCTTTGGCTGCTTCCTCAGCAGCTAAAGGGGGTAGAGGTTGGGGGTGGTAAAACCACAACTCAACCACAGGGTTTTACAACCCCACAAATTTATGTGAGAACGAGCACTAATGTTGCCACTGCCGATTGCAATTAATGGCTCATTCACAAGTGAAGCAGGCACTGCTGCTCCTCTGAAAAGAGATCCAAGTGTGTTTGACAAGTGGTGAGGAGGTGATATTTTGTCTCCTCTCCAGCTCATTTAAACCCATGATTACCATGCAATGTATGTGATTGCGACAAGGTAGTACAGAAATTAGAGGTTTAAAGTGAGGCAGCACAGTGGTTAATTGTTTAGCACTTCCACCTGGCAGAACTAGGATCATCGGTTAAAATCCCAACCACTGCACTATCTGCCTGGAGTTTGCTTGTTCTCCCTGTAGTTGCATGGGTTTCCTGGGTACTCCAGTTTCCTCCCACATGTCAAAGACACGCTGGTAGGTTAGACTCCTATCTAAATTGGCCCTAGTATGTGTATGAGTGAGAGTTAGGGACCTTCAATTGGAAGCTCTTTGAGGGTTAGGGACAGGCGCTATATAAGTACCTGTAATAAATAATAAATCAGGTGTGAGGAGACAACAATGTGCTCAGGGATCTTTGCCTTCTTCCATGTTCTTCAGGTAGATCTCCACCTCTTTAGGTTGCCTACCTCTGTTGTACATCATAGCATTGATTATACTCTTCACTGGGATGACCTGAACCCAGTAAATTAAAGGGATGTTCACACATATAGTGTAGGTGTTATGGTCACAAGTGTTCACAAATCTTTGGCAGTATATTGCATAAAAATAATTTCCTGTGGCCATCACAAAATACAGTTGGCTTCATGTGAACTGTATAACAGTTTAGCATTGAAATGGTTGTTGTCATTTGATGGGACAACTGCAGTATGATGTACCACCTAGCATCCCCAGTATAAAAGACAGCCCTGAATGACGGTTTTCTGAAGAGTTTCAAAGTTGATGGTGACTTGTCAAGGTATGGTCAAATTTAGGGTGAAGCTTAAAATGGCATTGGCTTCAAATGACTGCCTCCTACTTGGACAGGTTGTGTGACAATACCATGTCTACTGTCTTACAAAGTCCCCACTGGCTTGTCTTGGGGGAAAGTAGTGGACAGGTTATGAAAGCTCATGTTAAATGATTAGGACATATAATCGATGTTAACATTTTGTACTTACCCTGCTGGCCACCACCAACTGTACCAGTCCACTTGCAGCCCGCAGTATGCCAACAGCTTCTTGATGAGAAAGGCCCACCAGTGACTGACTATTGATCATAAGAAGCTCATCGCCAGCTTTTAGCCTACCATCCCTGAAAATGCAATAAAAATCTTTAGAAATAACAGTTAAAGCATTTCTAAATCCAAAAATATACAGTTGTGTTCAAAATAATAGCAGTCAGACATCACTTACCTGATCAATCACTGTTTTTGGTAGAAATTATATTTCTACATGGCAAATAATTTACTAGCAGGTGTAGTAGAGTAATAGAAATCCAACAGACCCAACAGTCATGACATGCATGCTGCTGATTCTGTGTCATTGAATCACTAATTGAAAGGGGCGTGTTCAAAATAATAGCAGTGTGGAGTTCTATTAGTGAGGTCATTCATTCTTTGAAAAACAGGTGGCAATTATTGCCCTTATTTAAGGAAGGAAGGCAGCAAATGTTGTACATGCTGGTTACAGTGCATTTCTCTCTGAAATTCTGAGGAAAATGGGTCGTTCCAGACATTGTTCAGAAGAACAGCGTACCTTGATTAAAAAGTTGATTGGAGAGGGGAAAACATATAAAGAAGTGCAGAAAATGATAGGCTTCTCAGCTAAAATGATCGCAAATGCTTTAAAATGGCAACCAAAATCTGAAAGACGTGAAAGAAAGCAAAAAACTAGCATTCGAATGGATAGAAGAATAGCCAAAATGGCAAGGACTCAGCCAACAATCAGCTCCAGGAAGATCAAAGAAGGTGTAAAGTTACCTGTGAGTACTGTTACAATTAGAAGACGACTATGTGAAGCTAAGCTATCTGCAAGAAGCCCCCACAAAGTCCCACTGTGAGCACATTGACTGGCCTAAAGAGAAGCAGGGCAACATTTTGTGGACTGATGAAAGTAAGATTGTTCTTTTTGGGTCTAGTGGCCGGAGACAGTTTGTCAGACGACCCCCAAACACTGAATTCAAGCCACAGTACACTGTGAAGACAGTGAAGCATGGTGGTGCAAGCATCATGATATGGGGATGTTTCTCATACTACGGTGTTGGGCCTATTTATCGCATACCAGGGATCATGGATCAGTTTGAATACATCAGAATACTTGAAGAGGTCATGCTGCCTTATGCTGAAGAGGAAATGCCCTTCAAATGGGGGTTCCAAAAAGACGACGACCCCAAACGCACCAGTAAACGTGCAACATCTTGGTTCCAGACCAACAAGATTGACGTTATGGAGTGGCCAGCCCAATCCCCGGATCTTAATCCAATAGAAAACTTGTGGGGTGACATCAAAAACGCAGTTTCTGAGGCAAAACCAAGAAATAGAGAGAACTGTGGAATGTAGTCCGATCATCCTGGGCTGGAATACCTGATCACAGGGTGCCAGAAGTTGGGTGACTCCATGCAACACAGATGTACAGCAGTTCTCAGAAACGGTGCGACTACAACCAAATATTCATTAAGTGATTCAAAGGAAAGCAAAATCTTCAAATATTTTTCAGTTTATATAGTGAATGTTTGAGTTTGTAAAGAAGAATACAAACACTGCTATTTTTTTGAACAGTCTAATATTCACTTTTCTTCATTTTTTTTAGAGGAACAACACAAATTTGATATATTTTCCTTCATGTTTTGATTTGGAATAGAATGTGTAGTGTTCCCAATGCATTTGTGTGTATGGAAATAAAAGCTATTAGAAGGATTTTGAGCTTTATTCACTTTTTTCAACACACTGCTATTATTTTGAACACAACTGTATATAACATATACAATTGCTACACAAACCACATTGTGATTTAAAAGTGGTTCTAAAGGCTCAAGGTTTTTTACCTACATGTATTCTATGCAGGAAGGTAAAAAAAAAAACTTCTGTGTGTATCAGCCCCCCAACACTTACCCAAGTCCCCTCTCGATCCATCAATATCCACGAGAGCCTCAGTTCTCCAAGAACTCTGACTCCTTGGATAAGGCAGAAGCGGGAGCCATTGGCTCCCGTTGCTGTCAATCACAGCCTGTGAGCCAATCACGACAGGAAGGGGGTAGGGTCGAGCCGCAGCTCTGTGTGTGATTGGATAACGCAGAGCCATGGCTCGGTAGCGTGACTGCTCGGGTGCCCCCATAGCAAGCTGCTTGCTGTGGGGGCAATTGGCAGGAGGGAGGAACCAGGAGCCACGGCGAGGGACCCGGAGAAGGAGGAACAGAGCTGCTCTGAACAAAAGCATTACACAGAGCAGGTAAATATGACATGTTTGTTATCTTCAAGAAAGAAAAATAAGACTTTAGTATTACTTTAACTGCTTCTGTGCCGCCCTATAGCAGAAATAATGCTACAGGGTGGCACGGGTGCACAAAGTCACGTATATATACACGTGATTTTGCAGTTCTGGGTATGGGGTGCGTGGCAATCACGGCCTCAGCTGTCAATCACCAGGTCCCGGACGGTGATTTCCGAGTATCTCCAACGGGGGAGAGACCTGTGTATAAACAACACGGTCAGCTCCTGCACACTGCTTTGTATGGCTCTGCACAGCAGAGCCATACAAAGCAGTGTGCTTACAGTGAAACGCAGCACACAGCCTCATAGTAAAACAACACGCAGTTAACCGTTTGATCGCCCCAGATGTTAACCCCTTCCTGCCCAGTGTCATTTGATCAGTGCAAATAAAAATCACTGACACTGTACTGTGTATTGGTGTCACTGGGGATGTCAGCGACACCAAGTCAGTTCCCCCCCAGTGTCAGAATGCCCGCTGCAGTCCCGCTATAAGTCGCTGATCGCCGCCATTACTAGTAAAAAAAAAATTCTAGTATATATACCGCCATTTGTAAATGCTATGACTTTCACGTAAACCAGTTAATTTACACATATTGGGATTTTTTTTAGCAAAAGACATGTCGCAGAATACATTTTGGCCTAAACATATGACGAAATTAGATTTTTTAAATTTTTTTCACTGGATATGTTTAATAGCAGAAAGTCAAAAATATTTTCTCAAGAAAAGTTACTGTTTAAATAGAAAAGTGGAATATTTAAATACCTGTCTGCGGAGCCTCCTTCTTCCACGTGGGCAACAACAATCCCATGAGGAGACCTTTTGGATCCTCGGCCACCAGTAATCTGAATCCCGAGCCCATCGGCTCCCTTCAACATATGCATCTTCCAGATACAGCATCCTTCCCGCTGAAAGAAACATCGTCATTGTTATTCTTTGTTTTATAATTCGTGCTTTTATTACCATCACCTGAGAGGAACATGGAGGTTGCTAGTTGCCTGGCTCTCTGTCATCAAAATTTCCTTGAACTAGAAACGAGTATGTGGCAAGCAAAGTCAGACCTCTTGAACTGCATACTTGTTCCAGGCCACGAACCTATACCTCTGTCAGGTTTTTATTACCATCAATTGCCTTTAGTAAAAGAACCCTCTCCAGTGAGAATACAATGGGACAAAAACATGTATTTAAAAAGTTGGGAAGGCTCAAAATGCCTGACATTTTTTTAATGCTGTCTGTACCTTCCTGTCTCAGTGACACCTACACCCCCTACTTCTTGAACAGGTGTCACAGGCACAGGACGTGAAGGGAACTCTCCCCAAATGCTTCAAATAGAATAAGGAAAGATTAAAGCCCCTGACAGTTTTTTTTTCAATGTCCCATTGAGAAAATTTCCCTTTAGTTTCTGTCCCAGACACATAGAAGGAAACAAGTGTAAATCACTTCGGCCCCTTTCACATGTACATCCCGATTGGAACCTCTGTTCATCTCTATGGAGTGGGCGGGTGTAGACATGTCCGTTTACACTCACTGACATCCAATCCGATCCGCCAAAAAGACAGATAGGGATCCGTTCCCCTTCCGTTCCGACGGATTGGATAGGATAGCAGTCGAATGGAAACAGACAAGCCATCCGTATCCATCCAACCACCCATAGAGGACAGCAGGCTGTGTCCGTCTGCTCTGCAGCAGCAGAGTGGACACGGACCTGGCATCCATTTACTCAGCGGGGATTAGCGGACAGATCCCCCACTGAGCAAGCAGATCCACTGATGGGTTCATCCTGTGCGAAAGGGGCCTTAAATGTCAATACACTCTTTGATAGTTGTCACCAGAAGAGTCGTCCCCATTGTCATCTTTCCCCTCACCATCTATTCCAGTAACAATGGTCATCAGGAGAAAAGGAAACTCCAATGGAGACACCTGTTTAAAGATTTCTATTCACTTTCTGTCTTGCCCCTTGGATAGGAAGTGACGAGAAATCTCACCAATGGGGAAATGGTATCTAACCTTTCCTAATGGTATTCAAAAACGTAAAAAAAAAAAAAAAAAAAAAAAAAAACACAACTCGAGACACTTCAAAACAATCAAACTTTATTTCTATTACAACCAAATGTGCTTGTCTGATTACAAGTAGGAGTCGTGCCTTCAATAAAAATGTTTTGGGTCAAATACAGTTTTGGCTGCTAAAACTGGTCTCACAATTTTTACAAGCAACTGTCAAGCAGTGAGAGCTCCTAAGGCCTCATGTACACTGCAGCTCCTAAACCTGAGTTTAGGAGCTTTTGGCGTTTTTTTTTTGCTAAAGCCCCTTGACTCAACTCAATGGTAAAAGCCTATGTGTACATGGACCCATACGCTTGCAGAGTTTAGGAGCAGCAGAGTTTAGGGGCAGTTAAATGTTCCTCTTCTGAACGCAGAATAATCGCAAAAAATGCTAAACACGGAAAAAAACGTGAGTAAACGTAACTAAACAGTAGCCGCGTTTAGAGCTTGGGCGTTTATCCATGTCAATGCAAAATACTCTGGCCAATCAAATGAATAAGCATCCAAACGTGGTACTGCGTTTACATGCATTTTTGCTGCGTTTAGTGTTTTTCTGTTGCTAGGAGAGTTTACCGACTAGGTGAGTTCATGTGTACATGAGGCCTAAAACCTGAATTTGTGCCCTGCTGATTCATTTACAGATTACCAACAGTGATTTGATAGATTGAAGAGAAAAGGAAAAGCCCACAAAGGCCTGGTGTACAGTGCTGCTCCTAAATGTGACATTAGGAGCTTTCGGCATTTTTTTTTTTGCCAAGGCCCCATGAACTCAACTCAATAAAAGCCTATGTGTCCATGTACAGATAGGCTTTTATCAGAGTTTAGGAGCAGCAGGGTTCAGGAGCCATTTAACGTCCTTCTCCTGAATGCTGAAATATCACATTCAGGAGAGGAAGGTTTTTGTAGAAAAAAAAGCAAAACGCAGCAAAAAAAAAAAAGTGTAAATGCGCCTAAGCACTAGCAGCTTTTAGAGTCTGGGCGTTTGTACATTTCAATGGCAAGTGCTCTGGCCAATGAAATTAATGAATGTGGTTAAACGACTTTTTGCGGCGTTTAGCGTTTTTCAGCAGCCAGGAGAGCTTGGAGTCCAAGGGAGCTTCAGTGTACATGTAGCCCAAAGGCGACTGCTCAGTTTTCAAGTGGATTTAAAGTAAAACTATTATGGAAATCTTTTTCCTTTTATTTTGGATAGAGTGAGGGAGAATTATAACCCCTGTCAGATTTTTTGTTTGCCATCTGTATCCCATTGCAGAGATTTCCCTTCACTTCCTGTCCCATAGCCAAACAGGAAATGAGACGAAATCCCTCCAAATGAAGATAATTCCTTGGGGACCCCCAGGTCACCAGAACTAGTGTCCCCACTGGAAAATTTATCCTCTTACTTTTTTGGGGATAACCCAAAATTTGGGATTTTCATTTACTTTCACTTTGATAATGGTAAACAGGACAAATAGAAATGATGAATCTCCCTAACAGGGGCACAGAAAGCCGTAAAAACAGAAAGGTTCTAATCCCTCTCCACTCTCTACAAAATTTATAGAAAAACAACAAATTACTGGAACCGATCCCCTGTACGGCTCTCTCTGCTGCAGCTGAAAACCAGCAGGAGGGAGAAGCATCCAGCTTTCACATGCTGCAGACAGCCATACAGGGGATCAGTTCCAGGAATTGCCCCCCCCCCATCGTGCCGATCAACCTCCCTGCCCACATCAGATTCGCCCAGCTGCCTGGGCCCCGTACAGGTGGACTGGGGGTACCCCCTTATCCATGGCCATGCTGATTTGGTTGGAGCCACACCAATTTCTAAAGTAGTACATGCACTACTTTTGTTGCGATTTGCATTGAAATCTGTGTCCCATGTCTTGCAAATCGCACCTCAACTTGGCACGTCCTTCGACTTTGAAATCGTGCGACTTCACTGTAAGCCGCATGATTTCAAAGTCGGGATCGGTGTGACCGGGGTGTAATACAGTTTTCAGTTAACAACTAAGATAAGGTCTTAGTCACGTCACCACACAGTAAATATTTTTTTCTGACAAATGTGACATTTATAGAAAATCAGGCTGATGATCATTCTTGGCTTAGGCTGCGTCCCTTACTGATGAGCTGTCATTGTGTAAACGTCGTACCACACACGAGCGTACAGTAAAGCCAGCCGCTGAATGGATGATTGACTCGCCCAGCCCTTCAGGAATTTTGAGTATGGGGACTGTGATGCCCTCATAACACACAGCCCTTTCTGTGATCGCATTCCAGGAAAATTCTAAAGCACTTCAAACAAAGGAAAGTATCAATCTGCCCAGTCCATTAACAAGACTATGGAGGAATTCCATGCATTTGTAATTAAAGCCTGGAAGTGAGTGAAGGCTGCAGAACCCAAATTTAATATTCTTTTGTTACATCCTACCAGGCTGGGAGAGCCCCACCAGCTCAAAGGAGGACTCCAGTCTCAGCAAAACACATTTCCAAAGCAAAGGATCCCAAATCCTATAAAAAGTTAGATAGAGAAAGCCCAGAGATGGGCAATGAAAATGGTGAAAGGTCTGAGGGATAAAACACATAAAGAAAGAATGCAGGAACTTAATATGTAAAGAAGAATGAAAAGGGGGGAGACATGACTTCAATAAAGGTCTGGGGGGGGGGCTCTAGCCTTTTCACCACCATATGCCCACCGAAGAGCAACCTGAACCTGGTTTGCTCCTCAGAAACCTAAGATAGTATGAACAAGCCCTAAGGCTGGGTTCATAAAGCCGTGACTTGGGATCCGACTTGTGAGACCCCAAGTCGCATGGTATGCGAAATCCCATGTTAGTCAATGAGAGCCGTCTTAAAGAGCACTACTGAAGTCGCTCCGACTTTAGAAAAGGTTCCTGTACTACTTCAAGGCAACTTCTATCAGACATGTGCCCATAGACTTTAAAACAGTAGTAAACTGCATAAAAAAAAAAACCCTGCAAGGTAAAGGCATAATGTGCTAGTATGCATTGTATACTAGTACATTATGAAGGACTTTCCTTGAAAGGAAGCCCTCCAGCGGAGCGCTGTCACAGTTCACTGGGCCTTCCATCTTCACCCAGTCTTCCTTCCGGGTTTGTGATCTCTCATGGCTGACTGGCCCAGCCACAAACACGCCATTCCCACACATGCTCGCGGGGATCCCAGGCCATGGCACAGTGCTCTGAAGGAATGGCACGTGTATGCCGTTCCTTCAGAGCGCATGGGCCGAATATCAAAAAGGGCTAATATCTCCTAAACGGTGCATGTTTAGGAGATATTAATTTTACCGATAGGTGAGCTTCATTATAAATTTACCTGTAGGTAAAATTATTCAGGAAGTTTACTACCACTGTAATAAAAGTCGCCTTCAAGTCGGATGCTCATCTATATTGATGTGATTTGGATCAGACATTACAGGAAGATTACCCAGGCATTCCCTGAGTGTCACTTCAAAGTCGCATTAAAGCCACATCAAGTCACATCAAACTAGTATTCGAGTCGCCAGGGAGTCCCCTGACAAAGTCACATGACTTTCAGGTCACAGTAGTGTGAACCGAGTCTAAGGGTGTGAATAAAGTTCAGGAGGGCATCATTTTCAATAAAAAGATAAGACCTAGAACTGCGGACCGTGGACCAGATGTGGCCCTTTATTTGTCTTTATATAGTCCTTGGGGCACTGTTCCTCCCATTGATATGAGGTACTATTCCTCCCACTGACACTAACTAGGCACTATTCCTCTGATTTACACCAATGGTGGGGCACTATTAGTCAAACAACACCAATAATAAGGCACTATTCCTTCAACCAATACCAATGGTGGGGTACTATTCCTCCCACCATTACCAATGATGGAGTACTATTCCTCCC